GCTTTTATTTATGTAGACTTACTACAGATACAGATTGATGTACATCATATTAGTGATTCAACCACCACAAACAACATTGCTGTCTATGATGTCATGTGAAATGAACAACTCTGGTGACATTCCTGAACCAACCAAACAAAACAGTCCCTTAATTTGCATGCTAGCAGCATTCCTGAAAAATGTGATATGTTTAAAATGGTATAAAAAATATTTCATATATTTTTGTCATAAGGAGGTGAGGTGTAAGCGCAGGAAATTATAAACAAGGTTTTCACCTATGTGAGGGATGTCAGACAACTCTTTATGTCAGATTGTCCATTGCATTGCATCCTTGGCTCACTCATGCCCACTAAACTCCATAGCACTTTACAATCATTAACACCTCCCCCCCCATACACACACAACATTTCAACCTGGCCCCATGGCTAGGGGACAGTACCTACCTGTTGGGAGCTACTGGTCCCAGTGAAGATCAGGAGGCTCTGTAACTATGATGGAGCATCAACCCCACTTGTGTCATTTTACTTAAGTTGCCACCAGTGCTCTTCATTATTTCACTTTAACCCTTACCTTGTGAGTTTCCTATGAGCTTTATTAGATTAAGAATAATAATTGGGAAACTGGAAATAACCTTTAGTTTCTGCCAGTTTCATTGGGTCAAGATCTTCAAGGGTGAAAACCCTACAAAATGGCACTTTTATGGAGTTGAAGTAGTTAGTATTTTTCTGTGGGTGCGAATTAGTCTGAGAAGGTTACGTCTAGATAAATAACTGGGGTTTGGGGGGTGAAGCCCGCAGGGACCCATTCCGGTTGGTATTCCACCAGGCCTGATGACCAGAGAGAACTGGCTGGAAAATCCAAGTCACACCATAAGCCAGGAGCCAAAGATCATGTATAAATGTCATATCCAAAGTCACAAGAACAAGTTTAAAAAGATGAGAGCAAGGCCAAGAATCAGGATAAAATGAACTGGATTAGGACAGGAGACCAGAAACAAGTGAGGAGGGCTGTAAACAGCTGTTGGTATTTGCAGCTTGTCTTCACGGGCCAGCAGATATGTAGCTCACTTGGGTCAGTCTATTAAAAAAAACAGAGTTGCGCCCTAACTGGTTTGGCTCAGTGGATAGAGTGTCGGCCTGTGGACTCAAGGGTCCCAGGTTCAATTCCGGTCAAGGGCATGTACCTTGGTTGCGGGCACATCCCCAGTAAGGGGTGTGCAGGAGGCAGCTGATTGATGTTTCTCTCTCATGGATGTTTCTAACTCTCTATCCCTTCCTCTCTGTAAAAAATCAATAAAATATATTAAAAAAACACACAGTTGAAATAGGCATTAGCACATATGTGATTTCTAAAGATGCAGCATATCAGAGCAGGTCTGTTGATTATATATTTAAACAAATTGCTAAATTATTATTTATACAGGTGACCTTTCAGTATTTTATTTGAAAATACTTATATTGTCTTATTCTGCTAGATGGTGAACTGCTTGAAGGCAGTGTTGGTTCATATTCATCTCTCTCTCTCTCTCTCTCTCTCTCTTTCTCTCTTCCTCTGTGTGTGTGTAACGTATTATATAGTAAATATATATCCCACCTTCAAAGCCTGTTAAATCACGTTGTTTACCCATATCTTCAGAAAAAAATCACTTCTGTCGTGGTAAACAACCTGCTTCCCTATTTATAATGGTCTGGCCCTCTAGCAACTTCAACGCTAAATTATAGCTAATTTGCCTACAAACGTCAGGTGGTCATAATAATCTGGCCACTCAGTGTATATACAGCTGGAGAGCTCGCTTAGTCTTGATCTTTGAATACACCTCATCTCTCTATCTCTCTGGTGAATCTCACCAAGACTGAAGAGAGGAAAGAGAAGTCAAGATTAGAAAATGAGACCTGTTGGAAAAGATTAAAGGATCTTTCAGAAAAACTGAGAACCATTTTTGGTGATAATCCTCATTTTTCTGGTAAAATAAGGAGAATCTTGGTGTTTTGTCATTATTCGTAAAGAATAGAAGTGTAAATAAATATTAATTGTAGCACTGAATAAGTCAGAAATTCCAGCCAATTAGAAAATATTAAGGATTGATTTGGAAATGAAAGAAGTTTGGAGTTTTTCTTTCTGGATTAAGACAGGGTAATGTCTTCATTTGTTTGCTGCGATCTGGGACAAGTTAACTGAGGCACGCAAAGTTGAGAGCTTTAATAGAGTGGAGTCAACTGTTAATGTTAGAAACCCTCTGTCATTCTTAGAATGGCCTCTGGAGGTCAGGATTGAGGCACCGTGCAGAGCTAAGCTTCCTCCACTATCTGTGGTTAAAATGATGCTGAATACTGATACTTCTGGTTCTCCATCTGGTGTCATTTATAAGCTCTAAGTTTGTTTACTCACAAAATATAATTTAACTAACAAGATAAAATGGTTTGGATATTTGAGTATGTATTTAATTTATACATTTAAATAATAGTCTATATTAATTTCTGTTAAAATAAAGAAGTTAAGGCTCTAAAAACATTTAAAAATCTGTTGAGATCTTGAAATGTGTAGGGATTTGTAAAATAATATGTATTAAGAATGACAGTACCTAAACTTTAAAATAATAGAATCATTTTAAGTTTTCTCACATTCTTAAAATTTTGGATTGCAATCATTTTCTTAATTCAAAAACTCTCCAAAAACATTTTAAAAATCATTTGGAACAAGACAGAATAATTTACCATTATTATTGTGCTTCTGTGTTTTATCAAAAGTTCAGAGGATGGCAGGCAGCCAAAAAATATACCCCCCTCCCCTCCCAGCTCCTCCTGGGCATTCTCCATCCAGAACTCAATGACTGTGAAGGCCAGCATCCAGGAAAGGGAAAATCAGAGGAAGTTTCCGTCTAAAAAGCTCTTCTCCAATTTTTGAAGCTACAATCTTTCATATTTTCTAGTTATTAACTGCTTTACCTTTATATTTATTTATTTTTAAACAACACTCCCAGATCCCCTTGAATATTTTGGGAAAATATTAATGGTAGTCTTATCTATTTAACATCTTGGTAATGTAAAAACAAACATTCAAACCTGTAAATAATTTTTATGAGTTTATTGGAGCCAAACTGTCGATAATTGCTGGGAAGCAGAATCTCAAAGGATTGGGATAATGCTCCGGAGAATGGGAGTTTTTCACCTTATTTTATACATTTCAATCAAAGGAGGGTATCAAACAGACCATCCAACCTCAGAGGGAAGGCGGGTGTGGGGGGTGTGTGTGTGGGGGGGTGAGAGATCAATCAAAGGACTTGTATGCATGCATATAAGCATAAGGGGAAAAAGGAGACATATGTAATACTTTAAACAATAAATAAATAAATAATTTTTTTAAAAATAAATAAATTTTTAAAAAGGAGGGGACATAAGAGGGTTACATGAAATTCATTGGTGATAGATTAGGGAGGCAGGAGAAAGCAAAGTGGGGGTCAAGGGGCAGAGGAACCTCTTGTATTGGATAAAAAGTAAAATGATAGACACTTCTTTTATTTATAGGTGGGTACAGGATAGTTAACAATCAATAAATAACAGGATAACAATAGCAATGAAGGAATTTGTGATCTCTGTCCTGGCGCCCAGGCACATTTGGTTGTGCCCTGAGGGGTCCAGTAAAAGGGAAGTTACAAGTTACCCTGACATTTCACAGGTTGTTATCTTAGATGCAAAAAGACAATAGGCTCAGTAAAGATCAAAGCTGATCTTTTCAAGGAAGATACTGGCCTAGGACATGACTACCCACTATAAACTGCTTTTTAATTAAAGGTTTTTAATTTCAGACTATCCTTTGTGGTTACTTGCGGTTTCTTGAGTTTGCAAGGCTGCCACGCAGGCCTTCCCTGAGTTAGTCAGATTAGTGTGTGGCCCTTTTTTCATCCACAATCTAAATGCAATTGCTATATTAATTATAATATACTAGAGCAGTGGTTCTCAACCTTCTGGTCCTTAAATACAGTTCCTCATGTTGTGACACAACCATAAAATTATTTTTGTTGCTACTTCATAACTGTAATGTTGCTACTCTTATAAATCGTTATGTAAATATCTGATTTGCAGGACGGTCTTAGGCGACCCCTGTGAAAGGGTCGTTCGACCACCAAAGGGGTTGCAACCCACAGGTTGAGAACCGCTGTACTAGAGGCCCAGTGCACGAAATTCCTGCACTCAGGCAGGGGTGGGGGGGTGGGTGTGAAGTGTGGAGGGGGGTCCCTCAGCCCGGGCTGCACCCTCTTGCAGTCTGGGAGCTCTTGGGGATGTCCAACTGTCGGCTTAGGGAGAGGGCCTAAGCTGACAGTCGGACATTTTAGTGCTGCCACGAAGGTGGGAGAAGCTCCCACCACCACCACTGCACTCACCAGCTGTGAGCCCGGCTCAGGGTTTCTGGCTGAGTGGTGCTTCCCCTTGTGGGAGTGCACTGACCACCAGGGGGCAGCTCTTGTGCTGATCATCTGCCCCCTGGTGGTCAGTGCACATCATAGTGACCGGTTGTTCTGCCGTTTAGTCAATTTGCATATTAGCCTTTTATTATATAGGATCTTTTATTTCTAGAAGTTCCACTTTCCTCTTTTCTTTTTTTAAATTTTACATATATTTTTATTTATTTCAGAGAGAAAGGGAGAGGGAAAGAGAATTAGAAGCATCAATGATGAGAGAGAATCATTGATTGGCTATCTCCTGAATGCCTTCCCACTGGGGATCAAGCCAGTAACCCAGGCACATGCCTTTGACTTGAATTAAACCTGGGACCCTTCAGTCCACGGGCCGATGCTCTATCCACTGAGCCAAACCAGCTAGGGCACACTTTGCTCTTTTCTATATCTTCTATTTATCTCCTTATTATGTTCATGCTTTCTTTTAAGTTCCACAACATATTTATAATAGCTGTCTAAAATTCTTGTCTGTTTTCAATCATTATTGTTTTTTTTAGTCTATTTATATTTTCTAATTTTGATTCCCACTTTCCTGCTTCTTCCCAGTAATTGCTAAGTGTCTAAATTTTTTGTTCTTCTTTTAAAGAGCAGCTTTACTTGGAAGACAGTTAAATTGCCTGCAGATCAGCTTTTAAGACTTGAATGTAAGCTCTGTTGGTGTGGACTCTATAGGGCTATTAATATCAAGGCATGGCCGTTCTGGGGTCTCTATTAACTGTACCAGATATTCAAAAAGGTCTCATTACTGTGTGGGATCAGAACTCTACCATCTCTCAATTCTTTGTTGGTGCTGGGACTTGTTTAGCCTATAGCTTCCTAGTAGTTTGTTCTGTTCTCAGTAATTGTTCTTTGACCAACCACTTGAAATCTCATTCTAAGTATGCAGGGCACAGTATTCAGCCAGAGACTCAATGAGACCCCATGCAGATGTGTGGGGCTCTTTAGCTGGGCAATACCCTTCTCTCTGATACACTGGCCCACAAAGTCCAGCCACTGTAGCCTCCCTGATCCCAGATCTGTATCCCCAACTCAGTGAGACCACCAGGCTTTGTTTAGAATCCCCTTCCACGTACTATGTATGATCCAGAAAGTTTCTCCAGGCAGAAAATCAGGGACATACATATTAGGGCTCTCTCCCTTTGTTTCCCTTCTCTCAGTGATCAAAATTCTGCATTGCCAGCTGTCCAATGTTTGCAAACAGATGTTTCATAGGCTTTGTCCAGTTCTTTCTTTATTTACAATGAAGAAAGGCACCTGGGACCCAGGCTTCCCTCCTTCAGCTGCTAGCAGGCTCCCGGGCTTCCCTCACAGCCCTGGCTTCATCAGGAAGCACGTCTAGTCTAATTAGCATATTATGCTTTTATTATTATAGATACTAGAGGCCCAATGCATGAAATTCTTGCATGGGTAGGGCCCCTAGGCTTGGCCAGCTATCAGGGCTGATCTGTGGGGTGACTGGCAGGGCTATTGGGGGGGCCCCTGCTGGCACCCGCCTTGGCTGACCTGGGGCCTGCAGGCTGAGAGCAGCTTCTGTGTTGAGGGTCTGACCCCAGTGGTCAGTGCGCATCATAGTGACTGGTCATTCCACCAGTGTTCTGCCATTCAGTTGATTTGCATATTAGGCTTTTATTATATAGGATTGTGTGGTAGTAGCACTTGAGCTGCTTCCAAATATTATTCAGTAAGAAAGAGTATGCCCTGATAATTCTGATAATGCCCGACTTTTCTGATCCCTTCAAGTCCCTTCCCCTATTCCTGCCCCCACTCCCAACTTTCATTCTTAAAGACTCCAATATCTTCTTCTCTGTGAAGTCTTCTCAAATACCATCATGTGAATTTCACTACTCCTTGCTGGGTTTTCCCACTGAACCTTGTAAGCACCTCTATTAAAACATTCAGTGGTGCCCTGACCAGTTTAGCTCAGTGGATAGAGCATCGGCCTGCGGACTCAAGGGTCCTGGGTTCGATTCCGGTCAAGGGTATGTACCTCGGTTGCGGGCACATCCCCAGTGGGGGATGTGCAGGAGGCAGCTGATCGATGTTTCTCTCTCATCGATGTTTCTAACTATCCCTCTCCCTTCCTCTCTGTAAAAAATCAATAAAATATATTTAAAAACAACAACATTCAGTGGTGTCCTGGCTGGCATGACTCAGTGGTTAGAGCATTGGCCCACACACCAAAGGGTTTCAGGTTCGATCTCCAGCCAGGTCAGGGTGCTTGTGAGAGTCAATCTCTCTCTCTCTCTCTCCTCCCCTTCCTTCCGTCAACTTGTTCTAAAAATCAATAGAAAAAATATCCTTGGGTGAGGATTAACAGAAAAATAAAAACAAATAAATAAACAAATAAACACCAGTAGAGCACAGGTGTTGACCAACCAGTCTGGAAAACAGCTTTAAATAACACTGGTGTGATGGGACTAAAAAAGAGCCCTTGGCCTATGAGCTCTTTAAGGGCAGGACACTTGGTACATTTGACTTCATATTTTTAGCACCTTGCACAGTACTTGGCATGTAATTAATTGATCAGTAAATGTTTTATGAGTGAATGAGACATCAAGAAAAGTTATACATTAATTCCAAGGTAAGTCCTGAAATCTTAGCATGACTTCAGGATTGCCTAGTACCATTTAATCTTAGACATTAGTTTAACTTGAGGCAAATGTGTTGTCCTTCATATTAGATGATGCTCATGACACACTCCACAAGAATGAGTTGTGTTGTCCCCACAGGCAAATTGTCCTGAGCCATCTGCTCTCTCTCTACACTCCCCTGCTGTATATTTGATGAACTGAATGGGTTAATTAAATTGGATTTGTGGAATAATAGTAGACAAACCTGTTTCCTAAAGAAAACAAAGTCTATGATGCCATTTAAAAGATAACTAGTAGTTAATTACTTAAAAGATATTAAAAGTAATTTTGAAAACTGTTATTTCTCATGTTATTTTCACATATGGTGGGATACATTCTAGATGAGAGTCATTTTTCACTTAACGTTTATCTATTGTGGAAAAAGACTATTTATATTTACAATTCAGGACTATTTAAAATGAAGAAATCTATATTCACTATGCCTCAGGATAGTAATTCTTCAGAGACTTAAAAAAACAACAACTAAGAATAAAGAAAGAGTACATGTCAACCTGGTTTCTGACTATCTTTGCTGTGGGCTGTTCCTTTACCTTGTTAGCTGGAATTGTTTAGTTCCTTTCTACTTTTTTGTAGTTGTGAGTAAGCAAGTTATGAATTGAGCCCCAGACTGGGCTTTGTCACCCCTAATGCCCTAAATGTTTGTTTTGTGGCAACTGATATATCTCTTCATCCCACATACAGTCCTTACCATTCCAGAAATGGGAGCCCCATCATGTATTTTTTTTAGTTATTCCCTTTTATTTACTGACTAGATGCCTGGTGCATGAAATTTGTGCACTTGGGGGGAGGTGTCCCTCAGCCCAGCCTGCACCCTCTTGCAGTCCAGGAGCCCTCAGGGGATGCTTAAGCTGCAGTTGGACATCCTTAGCACTGCCATGGAGGTGGGAGAGGCTCCCATCACCGCCACTGTGCTTGCCAGCCATGAGCCAGCACTCCCCCTGTGGGAGTGCACTGACCACCAGGGGGCAGCTCCTGTATTGAGCATCTGCCCCTTGGTGGTCAGTGCTTGTCATAGTGACCAGTTGTTCTGCCATCGGGCCAAAACCGGCTCTCCGACATCCCCTGAGGGGTCCTATATTGCGAGAGGGCGTAGACCAGGCCCAAGGACCCTACTGGTGCACGATCAGGGCCAAGGAAGGACACAGGAGGTTGGCCAGCCAGGGAGGGACCACAGGAGGGCTCCAGGGTGTGTCTGGTTTGTCTTGCTCAGTCCCGATTGGCTGGACCCCAGCAGCAAGCTAACCTACTAGTCAGAGCATCTGCCCCCTGGTGGTCAGTGCACATCAGAGGGAGCAGTTGAGCAGCCTTAGCATATCATTAGCATATTACGCTTTGATTGGTTGAATGGCCGACTGGACGACCAGACACTTAGCATATTAGGCTTTTATTATATAGGATTCATTTCAGGGCATTGTTCCCTTTTGAAACTATGCTTGATACATATTATTCAAATTAACTGGACTACAAATGTGCTTCCTAACACATCCATATAAATATGCGGGTGATTTAGGCTTCCCAAAGTGAGACCAGGACAGTAGAAATTAGTCCTAAGCATGAATGTGAAAAGGATGAAAGTAATGATGCTTCATCTTAAAAATGAACACTAGCTGTGGTAATGAGGAAAGTGCCATGCAAAAGGGAGAGCCGCTGTTCAGAGCCTGAGTCTCAGGGTGTTTCCATCTTTTTTTGTTTTGTTAATCTTCAACCAAGGATATTTTTTCCACTGATTTTTAGCCAGAGTGGAAGAGAGGGGGAGAGACACACAGAGAGAAACATGGATGTGAGAGAGACACATTGATTGGTTGCCTCATGCATGCGCTCAGACTTGGGGTGGATATGGAGCCTGCTACTGAGGTAGGTGCCCTTGACTGGAAGCCAACTCAGATTTTTCAGTCCTCGGGCGACACTCTAACCACTGAGCAAAACTTGCTAAAGCAGGGGGTCTCCATCTTGCTGGGGGTATCACATATCCTTCAATTTGCAGATATTGAAAACAAATTTCCTCGTTTTAGTCAGGGTAAATAAGTTATGGAATATTGAATCATCCTGAAAGAATTTATTTATAGACAATAATACCAATTTGTTAATTTATAACCAAAAATAACTAAGAAATAGACTAGCATCCCATGGAGCTGGTCAGTAAATTGTGTTTTCTATTGGAGTTTATTTACAAAATCAAATCAATATTACAAGGCTATTTGGTAACTCTAATGTTCTAGAGTGGGAAGTCATGCAATCTCCTGGGTCTAATAAAATCATAGTGAAAATTATAGGACTTTATTTCTAAATGAGAATTAACCAGTCCCTTAGACAGTGATGAAGACATATTGGTGAATTTTTACTATTAAATCTTCATATTTAGAATGACTTAGTCACCATAAACTTTAGTCCTTATGGTATGTACTTTCTCATAGAAGATGTATTGTTTTCCCCAGATTATAGTTCTCCCAACTTAATTATATTTCAAAATGCTTTATTTTATACAGCAAAAGGAGTCGCTTGTTGAGACTTAGGAAATAGAGTTGCTGGAGCAATCTTTTCCTTGGAGAGTCATTTCTTAGGGAATGTCAGAGCCAATGATGCTTATGCGGTTATCGTTAGCTTTTGTTTCTTACCGATGCTCATAAGCAAGCCTTATTTTGGATCTGGAACCCTTGCAAGTTCATAGAAATGAACTGAGGTTGGTTTCAACAGGCAAATAGCTTAACAACTACATAGTGGGTCTCAAGGATTTGTTGAAATTTTGTAATATGTACTTAAATGGCAACTCTAGCTTAGTCTTTCTTTTTTTCACATTTTATTCAAGATATGATTTACCTACAAGATTATTTTTCTCTTTTATATAGGTAGAGCTATAGTAGGACCTCAAATGCATTGAACTCCCAGTTTTCAATATTTATTAAGAATCAGTAACTATAAAATACAGTGAAAATTCAAAAATAAAGCCAAAGTAAATTTATAACTAGGAATTTGAGTCATTTGAAGTTATGAAACATTTGAAGTGTCTAAAATGAATTGTTTTTTTATTAATTTAAGCAAGATTGCTCAGGTCTTCTTCTTTTTTTAACTTAAAAAAAGAAACTTGAACAAAGGTCAAGTTAGTTCTGGTTTAAAATACTAGAGATGGAGCCTGCAACTGAGGTAGGTGCCCTTGACTGGAATCCAACCCAGGATTTTTCAGTCCTCGGGCGACACTCTAACCACTGAGAAAACTGGCTAAGGCAGTTTTATTTATTTTTAAAATAAAATTAATTAAAAAAATTCCCGAGATAACTTGGTCTAGAAGCCATTGTCCTGAGATAAGGTCTGAGCAAGGATACATAATAAGCACTCCATTGTAAGTGATTTTTTGTGATCTTCCTAAAAATATCTACATAGCCTAACTTGATCTTGATGCTTAATGTTGCCAACAACAGTAACTCACTAAACCACTGAAGCATAATTT